GTACATGTGGGTGTGTGCAAATGTAGAGGAAAATAAGAAAGTAAGTATATATATGTGTGTGATCCCTAACCTATATGAGTGTATATAGGTAAAACATGCGTAAACTGTAATATCCGGAATTGATTTTAAAATATTTAAAATTAATGTATAAAACATAATTTTTAAATTTATGAATTTTTATTTGATGTGAAAATTAAGAAAAATAGGTGGAGGATGAAATTGAAAACAATTTTGGGAAAAATGGGTGAAAATTTGGGTTATGAGGGTGTTTTTGAAAGAAAAATTTGCAAACTGGGAATCAAAACGTAATTTACGAAAAATGTACCACTTAGGACTGTCCAGTTAGCAGACTTGACAAACTGGAGCGCGCCGCGTGGTAAGGCACGCTGACGCGGTGCCAGCAGGAGGCCACGTTGGCAATTTGCGTGCTTGCAATCGAACGGTCCGGATTTGTTCTCGCATGTGTGAACGGTCCAGATCCGTTCCCTCCTCAGGCGCGATTGGATGGTCACGATTAAAAGTGATGAACAGTTCAGATTCGTTCCCTCTTTAAACGCGATCAGACGGTCTAGATCAAACGCGATCGACAGCCTAGATTAAAATGAGATAGATATAAATACCTCACTTCACACCAAATCCTAAGCCTAGCCACTAGCCACCCCCGCTGGAGAAGAAGAACCAGTCGCTGGGAAGGGAGCTGACTGCCTCCTGTCGCCGAGCTAGAGCCACATCCGACTGCCAAAAAAGGTAAAAAATTCTCCCAGTCGCTCGAACTTTGATTTTGAACATCTTCATGCCCAAATTAGAGCAAAAGGACCGACAGATGAGTCGAAAATTGCGAGTAAAGCCCAACGGCGTCGTCGTAGGAAAAATATAAATCTGCCTCCGATGAGGCCCTTCTTGATTCCCGTTTCGTGCAATTTTCTACCATTTTATTCACTATTTTATTTTTCACAGGTTAACTGAAGAAAAATGCCCAACCGTGAAGGTGAACCGACGGAGTGGCCGCACCGAAAAACCTCGCCGCTGGTAAGCTTATGTTTTTTGATTTTTTTCGACCAATCGATGCCCCTTAACGTGTTTTCTCATATAGATGAGTACAAAATTGGCCAAAATTGACCGAAACTAGATAAAAATGGCTAGCCTGAGGCAAACTTCCTCTGCGGGCGGCGGTGCCGATGCCGAAGTACAGCGGCGGCACCCTGCTGAAATCACAAAATTGGCTGGAAAGGTTTTCTAATACTGATTTTGGATTTTTTGGGGGGTATTTCTAGGTACTTGGAGCGTGTTTTAATCTCTAAAGAAAAATTCAGGGAACCTTGGGACCACCAGTAGGCGCAGCTGAAAGCTTAGCGTTTCGTTCATTGATTAGAGTAAGAATCCCTCACGTTATCCCTTATTATAAAATTGAAGTTTAATTATAAATAATGTGGTATTTTATACAATTTAAAAAATTTCAATAATTAATCACAGGTTACTAATAGAGCCAGAACTTGTTATTATTCACTGTTTGATTGATTTTACTATTTCGAATGTATAATATTATACTAGAGTTGGTATGATGATTCAGTGGTGTTTCCTTGATGCATGCATTCTTGTTCTGCGTGATTTACAATTAAATTGTGAAACTGAAAATTAAATATAAACGGAGAATTGTTTGATTAAGTGAATGATTGAATGGTAGCCTCACTGGATATCATGAGAGATAGTAGACGGATCGGATACATAAGGAACCCTACCGTGAACATTACCTCATACCAGACGAAATATCGAGGATTGGTATTTTGGCGCTCATACCGGACATGGTATGGGGATGACCCGTTTTACCCTCATACCGGACGGGGTATTGAGGGATGATATTTTTAGTGCTCATATCGGATGGGGTATGGGAATAACCGGTTACTTAAAAATGTTAAATAAGAGTTCACGCGTAGTAAAGACATTCTTATGGACTCCCATGGATACCAGTAGGCAGATAATAAGGAAAAGTTGTTGTTATAGTTAATTGAGTATGAGATTATGATATTATTTGTGCTATTACCGCTATAGGTCAGTTTTGAAAAATTTGTTATGGTAAGTGTACAATAAATGATTTTACTTATGATAAATAAATTTACTTAAATTAAGAGCTTCATTAGTTGTTTTCATAATTTTTACCAATCTTCATTTCTGTATCGGTGAATAGTATGACATTTTTACTGGGCTAGTGTAGCTCACTCTTTCATTAACCATTTCAGATCAAGATGACCAACATCCAAATCCCGATCCACAAGAGGGTTGCAAATATAATGTTCAGTTGTTTACTTTCTATTTATTTTTTTAATTATTCATTGTTATTTTAGAATGATCATTCTCGTAACCCTATTGGGTATTCTGAATTATTGTGTAAGGAATGTAAATCATAATGCTATTATTTCACTTCTGTATTCAATTTATAATTTATTTTCTTTCAAGTTCAGGCTACTATCAGGTAAAGATCAAGGCAGAAGACATTCCCAAACTAACTTTTCGGACTAGGTACAGACACTATGAATTCTTAGTCATGCCATTTAAACTAACCAATGCACCAGCCATCTTCATGGATTTGATGAACATAATTTTCAGACAATTCCTGGATCAGTTCGTCATTGTATTTATCGATGATATTTTGGTTTATTCAAAAAATAGAGAGGAGCACGCTCATCATCTGATTCAGGTTTTGCAAGTTCTCAGAGAAAAGAAGTTGTATGCAAAGCTGAGCAAGTGTGAGTTCTGACTCGAGCAGACTACCTTTCTAGGGTACATCATATCAAGGGATGGAGTGTCAGTGAACTCCGAAAAAGTTGAGGTAGTGCTTGGCTGGGAAAAATTAACCTCGATCAAGGATATTCGTAGCTTTCTAGGAATGACAGGTTATTACCGTAGGTTTGTAGAATAATTTTCTAGTCTAACTGCTCCTTTGACTCGGCTCACAAACAATAATATCAAGTTCAAGTGGAACGAGAACTGTGAAAGAAGTTTTTCAGAACTAAAGAAGTAGTTGACTACTGCACCTGTGTTAGCCTTGTTGAGTAAGATAAGTGGATATACAGTTTATAGTGATGCCTCCTACCTAGGGTTGGATTGTGTTCTGATGCAGCATGGAAAGGTCATAGCCTGCGGGTCCAAGCAGTTGAAGAGTTATGAGAAAAATTATCCCACTCATGACTTGGAACTTGCCGCGATTATCCACACCTTGAAGACCTGGCGTAATTACTTGTATGGGGAGACATTTCAGATCTATACCGACCATAATAGTTTGAAACATATATTCACTTAAAAGGATCTCAACATGCGTAAGAGAAGATAAATAGAACTCCTCAAAGACTACGATTGCTACATTTTATATCACCCGAGTAAGGACAATGTGGTAACCGACGCACTCAGTAGAAAAAATGTAAGTATATTAGCTCACCTAATGGTTTCAGAATACAGGGCAATAAGGGCTACACAACAAGTACAACTTCAGGACCTGAAGAGAGTCACATGTTTGGCCCACTTAACTATTCAACTTGAGTTGATCAAGAGAATAAAGGAAGCTCAATTCGCCAATTTCACCATAGCAGCCCTTAAGAAAGATGCAGAACAAGGAGTTAATTCAGAATTTCAAGTCTCTACTGATGGGTTGCTTAGATTTCAGGATAGGGTGTGTGTGTTCCATGTGACAGTGAGCTAAAAAGGAACATCATGACAGAGAACCATAACTCAAATTTTGGCATGCATCCCGAAAGCACTAAGATGTATCAAAGTATGCAACCCCGACTTTGGTAGAATGAGATGAAAAGAGATGTGGTCGATCTTATTTCAAAGTATTTGGTATGTC